TACTGGACCGCAAATGGCCACAGAAAATGGGGAACAGCCGCATGGATCATGGAGGTACGAGCGACCTCCATGATTAAGCCAATGCGGCGCTCAGCAACCCCATTTTGTTGCGGGGAGGCCGGAAGCGTGAACGACTGGAGGATGCCCTCCCCACGACAAAAGTCCCGCAAGAGGTCGAAGGAGAACTCACCACCTCTGTTAGAGTGCAGACAGCCGCCTTCCTCTGTTGAGGAAGGTCCGTGTGAACCTGCGGAACTGGATACGGACTGCGCGGATCCAAGGGGTCAAGTCATCAGGGACCTCACCTTTGCTGAGCAAGGGGAAGACCGTGATGTAACGCGTGTACTCGTCAACAACCAGTAGAAAGTAGCGCTCGCGGCCCTGTCCACGGACGCGGGCTGGGCCCCACACGTCCATGTGGAGAGTCTGCAAAGGAGCAGTCGTCGGGGGAAACGAGGAGTGAGGAGCGGTGCGCTGCCACCCCTCGACGCAAGGAAGGCAGGGCAGGGCGGGCGAGGGCGGGAGGGGAGGCAGAGACATGGGAAGGCCAGAGACAAGGAGGCGGGAGTGCATGCCACGGAGGCGTGGCAGGGAGGGGTGACCAAGGCGGTGGTGCCAAAGGAGATTCTGGTGCGACAGGTGGTGACACGAACAGGGGGCTGCTAGCTGACCGGACGCGGATGCAGACACAGCTATCTGAGGAGGCTCAGTAGTCAGTGTGTACAGACTCGACCCAGGCCGACGCGTGAACATGGCTAGGTGACGGCCAGTCCGGGAGCACGTACAGATCGCCACACGCTGTCCTCCACGGGTGAAGGTATGAACCCATTGATCTTGAAGGACGGCGTTGCTCACCAAGTTTGTAGAGAACGAGGGGAGGTGAAGACTTGACATTGAGCCAGACGGAACGGCCGGACACGGGAGAACAGTGGAGGAATGTGCAAGAACTGGGCCCCCAGAGGGGTCAGCCAGAGAGATGGCAACGGGTGCAGGGAGCGGTGTGACTGTGGTACTATCGCGAAAGAAACAGCAGGAAGCACCTGAGTCAAGCGTGAAGGTGTGCAAGGCGTCAGCAGGCGCAGTACCAGAGAGAGCAGACTCATTAACACCAAGAGCAGCAGCCTCGATACCTGGGTCGGGCGTCATCACAGGTAACAGTCACCCTCAGCACTAACAGTCAAAGCATACATAGCAGCAAGGATAGCATCATAATCAAGAGCAAAGATATCCACACCCTGCCTAAGCAGCTCAAGGCAGCGGGGGAGCTCAGTCGCGTCGGAAAACTCAGCGCACCAAGCGTCGTCAAGACGGGAGAAGCAGTGGGACTGTGTGTAACCAACCTTTCCGCATGTCTGACCAGCGCGGTTACCTGTGCGAATGACGTACAGCGGATTGAACTTCGCTATAATAAAGGAATGTACCCCTTTAAGTATATGGCTAGTCCATGTCGTTTCGCATTCCTTTGTATTTCCTATAAAAACTCGATGTATGCATGCTTTTATCATCTCAGTCGTTCTACATTCACTCTGACCTGAGGTCAACATTTCTGCTGCAACAATATCTGCGAACAACCCGAAGCCGATCCCTGGAACAACCCTAAGCGGATCCCTGAAAAAGTCCTTTTAGGATTGTAACATGGTATCAGAGCTGGTCAAAGGAGAATCAAACTCGTTGGGGCTTCTTCGCAACCTTACTTCCGTGAAATTCGACGAATCAAGATCTGGCGAACGGCTCCACACCTGACATCGGGCTCTCCTACTCCACGCTGACAACAACTTCCTTCAATCTCACGACTACGTGGATGCAGATCACGCCGCTGACCCTGCCAATCGACAGTCACGAACCGCCTTCGTCTTCCACCTGGAGCCAACAGCCCCAATTTCTAGGAATTCACGGAAGCAGAAACTGGTTGCCCTGTGATCAGCCGAAGCAGAGTAAATTGCCACAACAGCCGCAATTCGCGAAGGACTTTACCTGCAAGAGCTGCTGCAGGAGGCAGAAAATCCAACTTCTCCTACCTTCTGCCTCCACCGAGAAAACCACAGCACCATCAAGATCACGAACAAGCCGGGGTTCGTCAATCGAACGAAGCACATCGCGCTTTGATACCTTTTCGTCAAGGACGAAATTTACCAGGGCAAGGTTGACCTCTCGTACTGCCCCACCACCGAGATAACAGCTGATTTTCTCACCAAGCGACTGCCACGTCAGCAGTACAAGCACTACTCCAACCTCATGGGAGTAGACAGACGAGTCAGCTCCCAACACGCCCACGAATAAAGGGGGGTGTTTCGATATGAAAGTAAATGAGTAGGCATTCCTGTACGCTGCAGGAGCCGACTCTACTGAGTACAAAGTCGAGTTGTCAGAAGAGTCGAAGCGACACCAGCAACCGTCAAATCAAGACTGATGCAGGCATAAACATTTGAAGTGAAAAGAGCGGGAACATGTTTGAAACGGGTTCCCGCACCGCACGGTTTGAACTCCGCTGTGATAAGGGAATGTACCCCGTTAGATTGCATGGCCCGTCTAGGTCGTTTTGCATTCGTTTCTATTTCCTATATAAAATCGATGTATGCATGCTTTTATCATCTCAGTCACTTTCCATTCACTCTGAGGTGAGGTCAACACTTCCGCTGGAACAATATCTGCGAAAAACCCTGAGTGGATCCCTGGCATAGTCCCATTAGGATTGTAACAGGATGTAACGCTGACAAGCCGCTCTTCTGCTGCGCTTGCAGTTCGCCTTGCATAATGCTTTCTACCGTAGGTGTTGCAGTGACTTCTTTTATAAAGGTGTCAGTGTCAGAATCCCAACCACTTAGACTATTGGGATAGAAGGGCTTGTTTGTGTAGCGGGTTTGTGCGCCCATAACCCCCCTAGGCGAACGCGCCTGTAACCCCCCCTAGGATCAATCTGGCATCCACAGTGCAGATCTACTGACACCCCCCCACACTGGGAGGCCCAGGACTGAGCACAGCGGCAACGACCTACATGTGCATACATCCGGATTCAAACCCGAGACCGATCTGATACCATGTCAGAATCCCAACCTCTTAGACCATTGGAATAAAAAAGGCATGTTTGTGTAGCGGGTTTGTGCAACCATACCCCCCCAGGCAAACGCGCCTGTAACCCCCCCTAGGATCAATCGGACATCCACAGTGCAGATCTACTGACAGTCAGAGGTGCACTGGAGATTCCCGATTGATCCTAGAGAGGGGTTACATCCACGTTGGCATGGGGGATTATGGGCGCACTCACCCACAACACAAACAAGCCTTTTTATCCTAGTGGTTAGGGTTAGTTACGTCCAGGCCCCTAGGTATCAGCCCTTTTATGCTGATTCAGTGTGAAATCAGAATATTTTAATGTACCTTGGTTGATTTGTCGGCCTTTTTAATTACTGATGGCTGCTTTTCATCCTTTTAGTTTGTTTTTGTATGTTTTTTAATACTTTTGGTGAGAGTGTACACTGATCACGTATAACGGGATGGGATCCTACGCTGAATTCTTGAATTCTGCTTGTAGGGCCCCCAATCCCTCGGCTCACCCCTCAGGCCGCCCCCATTCTCTCGCCTCATTCTCGCGACAATCCCTCCAGCCCAACTCGTCTTCTCGCCCTTTTCCCCGATCCACGTTGTTTCTCCCCTTCCCCCCGCCCACCCACTTCTTCCTCTTCCCTGACAACCCGCCTCTCACGCCCCTCATAGCAGCTCACCTGCCTTTCTCGCACCCACTTGATTTGCGCCCCCTGTTTACCTCGCCACTCTCTCCCTACATGAACCATGTTAGAGTACATATATTCAAAATACCTTAGGCTTAATCTCAAAACCCCACACAGAGTATTCAGAGTTTTCTCTGGCACTTACGCTGAAATTTCAGCGTGTTTTTTTTTAGGTAACGCTGATGAATCACCGTGGTCCGAAACGAATCCAGGGGCCTGGGTGGTAGCCATGGCGGCCTTGGAGTCATTGTCATTGTCATTCCGGTTTAATCTAAAGATATCGAAGGAGTGCACTCCAATCCAGGAGGATAACCCTGCTAACCAGAGCTACAGTATAACCCTGGACATAACCCCCCCCCCCCCCCCCCCCCCCCCCCCCCCCCCCCCTCCCCACCCCCCCCTCCCCTCTGGATTTTCGGCATCGGATGTTATAACGAGGCAATGGGGTGATAAGACCGCTTTCAATCATACGGCCCATCCTCTTTATAAGATTTTTTCGATACAACAACATGGCATTTTCTTGTTGGTTTTTCTACCAAAACAAGTCAAATGTGTTTAAGATAAGCCCCGAAGCGATTAAAAGAAAGCTGATATCGTAGGGCCTGAAAACAAAGGCAAAAATAAAATAAGCCAATAGGGTCATCTATCCGAGGCCGTACAATATGATTATGTGAAAGGGCTTGCCTGCTTGCAATATCCCGATAACCCTATAAAACATATCAAGGTCTTACCTACCTACGACGTCTAGGAGGGTGGGGCACACATACTGTCTTGCTCCCGTCTTTAGCACTAGAGCTTCTGCCTATGGTACTAGAGCAATCCTTGAAATTATAATTAAGGAAGTCCGCATCATCTATAAATCTTATTGTAGCGAAAATACCTGCACACGTTGCATCCTTGTCCACTTTCTTGGATACACCCCTTTTGCAACCGACGCTTGCTGTGAATGACCAATAGTCTGCCCTCAGACAAACCTGCCATGACAGACCACATGAATGACAACAGTGAGTGAACAGACGAGATGCAGAATAGTGGCAAGGGTCATAAGGGCAGCATGCAGAGGTCAACAGGGAATATCTTACAAGCCTAATGACTTCTGGCACAATGAATAGAGTACCCATGTACCAGCAAGTCCACCACTTTGCACTCTCTTCCTATCCCACTTGTACTTCTATACCATGCCACCATATCCTTCCCCACCTCCCCTAACCCTTCCCTGCCCCACTCCCCCTTTCTGTCTACTAAGTATCATCCGCACCTTCCAATCCTTACCTGCACTTGAGTGTTGCTAGGGACGGCGCTGGAGCAAGTGAGGCCGGGATTGTTGCGGTACAGGTCAGCCCAGTCACTTCCAGTGACTTTCGCACCCTTTTCCTTGGTGGACTTTTCAAGCAACCCCTCACACGTGGTTTGTGCTGTGACTGTGCCGTATCTCAAACACTCGGGCACAGTGTAGGCGAAGTTAGAGCTGCGCTCGATGCACACTGACTGGCCCGCCTTGAGGCCATTCAGCGAACAATCGAAGCCGGGGTTGAGCTTGGCAAGATCTTCCTTACTCAAGCTGAGCTGCGAGCTCATGGATGAACAAGTGTCACTCTGCAAGGTTAGACAACACAGGGGAGAATAAATGTGATGCTCTTTACACTGGGATGCACCTGCCATAGCATAGCATATGTTTGGTTATACTCGTGCGAGTGTTACACCTATATGGGTGTACACTCTGGGCCGAGGCGCCTCAAGAAACTTTGGCTGGGCGCTCTCCAACTCTTATGACCGCATGTGACAGGGGGGTTTTCAAATATTGAACCAATTATGCTCCCCCCCAATAATTGTGGCCGACCCCCACAAATCATTGGGTGGTCAACCTTAATGGCCTACCAATAATGCTGTGGGCACCTAACCAAGATCATCACCGTTTACTCTCCTATGTAGACCCATCTTTTCCTGATCAATCTAGTAACATGAGATTTTTCCAGAACCCAGTTGACTAGACGAATTGGTTGAGAGCACGGTGTGCACAATAAAATAAAAAAAGCACCCACTTTGTCTCACCTTGAGGGCGTAGAAGAAGGCAGTGCAAGGTATGTCAGGAGCACCAACCAGCCGAAGGACACTGCCCTTGCGCAATGGCTGGCTGCAATCAATTCCCTGCATTGAGAAACATCAGAATGATGAGGTCGCACCGTGAGTGCATGGTACTAATCATACGCCTTCCTCACCAGTACCAGAACTTGAAAAATGTTCCACGTATACCAAAACTGATTGTAGAGCAACAGAGTAAGTACGCGTGGCCAACAAAACCTTTGACAAAGAAGTCTTCTTTACTCCTTAGCCCAATTAGTACCGCATTGGTAGAACGGAATTTGTCCCATGGGATGCCAACAAGTGCAGAAACATTTGCACACTGCCAGTTGTCTCCAGTAACTGTCATGCTGGTGGCTGTGAAATTCGCTGCAGAAAGTGAGTAGATAGAGACGAAAAAATTCACAAAAGAAAGGGAGAGGAGTGATTTCGGGGAAAAAAAGACAACACCTCATCCTTGCGTTGCGAGAGATTTTAAACAAGTTAAAGTAAAAATTCAAATTCCAAACACTTAATTTACCTGGATCACAGGTGGGAAAGCCGTAAAATGTATCTCTTTCAATGTGGTTGGGAGGGCAAATGCAAGAGTAGGAACCCTTGCGATCGTTGATGCATGAGCCCACGTAGCAGGGGTTGTTGAAGTACGACCCACACACGTCCACTGCCACAATGGTATTGGGGTGATGGATATGACACAGATTAGAGGGAACATTGAGCAATAATGGACATAGTTGCAATGCAAGCGAGGCATGACGACAGGACATGTGAGAGAAATGCAAGGGAATAGTATGGAATCATGCCATGCCACACTCCCTCCATTGCGGGTTGAGACGAGTGAGAGTAAGGAGAGGGAGAGGTCGACCTTGTATATCGCACTCAACAGCGAAAACTTACCATAAGCACATGTTTTGGAACCATATCCGTTGGCAACCTCAACGAAAGGTTGCATAGCTTGAGTAACATTTCCAATAACGCAGTTACATCTATTGCCTTCAGAAATCTTCTGGCATGGGAACCGGCCGCAAGGATTCATGCCATTCGGGTCCTGATCGCCCTTGTAGGCATTGTTTCTACATGGGTCATCTGGAACTGCAAGGAAACAGAGAGGGTACAACACAACATGATGAAGCAACATGTTAGTGACTTTGCAACCTACGCATGGCTGTAGAAGCTAAGCTTTGCGAATGGACGGTATTGTGCCTGGAATACCGCGCAATTGCCTGTATAAGTTGATTTGTAAGGTGCCTGGAAGACCACTTGTGACAATGTTTTGAAAAGTTCATCCCAAAGTGCAAATAGGCTACTTGTGTACTTCCGAATGGAGAAGATCAACGAGGTCTTTTTTCTACCAGCAGCGAAGATCAACATCCGTTCCTTGGCCCTCCTATCCTACCCAATCCACCACGAATTCGAAACTGGCGCAGATTCAGATCCTCGCACGCAAGATGGAAAAAAGTACGTGTTTACTGTTAGAAAAAAAAAAACAACTATCTCAAAGATGCTGTTGTGAGCAACAAACACTTCACGGGATCTCCTCCTAGTGCACCCCTCATTCCACCCATGAGAAAAAAAACCCTTGTTACAGCCACAGTTTTGAGTTTTTGTACGAAAAATGGAAGTTTTACGTGCACAAAAGAGTAACCTTTTTTTTTTCTTCTCTCTTTTTACGGTCATGCTTTACGATACGCATTTTACGGTCAAATTGCGAAATAACAAAACGTGTTTTTTTTGCAACTTTCTTGCATGGTGCATTTCCCAATGGATTGCACCACCCCCCTGAACCACCTTCCCACTGCAAGTGCTTGCAATGGGCCTCAGCCTGCTCCACACACTACTGCAAGCCGGCGCCACTAGCCTTCCAGGGGACTCCCAACGAGTCAGTGTTAGTGTTAGCCCTCAATCTCACACTTTGTATTTTGTACTTTCTATATCCTAGCGTAGTGTAGTTTGCACTTTGTGTTTGGTTGGGTGTACACCTACACCCCAACCAAACCCAAATGTGATATCCAAGCAATCTCCAACCCACCAATTGGAGATTGCCTTGGGATTCCCTTCCCCATCCTTTCCTTGCCCATCCTGGATGTGCTTAAAGAGCTTCTAGCTCATTACTTATGCATGGATTCTAAGCTCAAGTTCTGACAGTCAGGACCTGGCTGGGTCCAATACCCTCTCCCTCCGTCGTTGGGCGGCATAGGGCTCATCTGCCCTTTATCCAGCTTCCTTTGCTTACTGTAGCAGGACATCACAGCTTCCTTTCCAGCTTTATCCAAGCTCACTGAGTCCTTGCCCACTAACCCAACCGGCAGCCTACGCGCGAGACGTTTTGCTGATAGAGGCTCCTTACTCTAACCCCACCCACCTCCATACCTTGCTGGCGGCCTCCTTCTCTTTGGCACTGCCGTCAGGGATTGCAATGGCCTTACAATTCTGGCAGTGCCTTACAAAACAGACATAACGTATCCTTTTAGAACGGGGAAAGGACAGGCCATCAGTTGGCTTGTCAATCCCCAGAACCTGTCTTAAGTTAGCAACCCGCCGTCAGATCTCTTGCTGAGTCCCTTTCACCTGAAAAAACCTGAACCCTAAACCCTTTCACCTAAACCCTTGTATGAACCTTATTGCGCTATTGGAATTCGCCTGTCTGCTTTTGTGTTACAATGAGTGAACAAGAGGCAGATATCGGGGTGCAAAGGCTGGGAGGGGAGAGGGGAAGGAAGGTTTGGTGGCTGCCTCTTGTTCTTAGAGGTGACTAACTCCTAAGAACGGTTCAGATGCCAACCTCTGGAATAAGGTGTGCATTATGACGACAATGAAGGTGTCTCACTTTTGACAATGGGGTAGATGCCAGGCAGCACGTTGATGCCACACACGCCATCTCCTCCCTGAATGTCCATAAACATGTGCCCTGCGTCTCCCCAACCAACTCCCCACGAGTTGCGGATGATCCAAGATGGAGGAGCAATGCGTTTCTGGCTGCCGTCATCTCGATTGATGAAGTAGCCAACGACCAGCACCACATGGTTCAGACTGCCCGTGTAGCAAGCAGCATCCGCATATTTGAACGTCTGAATGAAACAAAAAAGGGGACATGCCATACATACGATACGTCCTGGAAAGCAGAGCAGAACTAGGATCAGCGATCCACAATGACGCCAATAGCAAATGTTCCTCATTAATGTTGTCATTTCTCAACGTGTGAAGCATGCATATGGATGGATGCAACGTCCTACAATAGTGCACGTGCACCACACTGCGTGAGTGCTGCAGCGACTCACCCCATTATATTTGAAGAACGTGGCAGCCGCAGCCTCAATGTGAACCACCACTGGCTGGCGCCGCACTGCCAGCATGAGCCCAAATTGCCCCTTGAAGAGCGCCCGCTCAAATGCTTGCACTGGATATGTTTTCGCCTAGGAGGATGAGCATGGGTTTGAGGTTGTATGGATAGCGGGAAGATAATATGCAAGGGTAAAAATCATACCATCCCCATGTCAATCCGTGCTGTATTGAAACCAAGAAAAGAAGAGCTGTTGTACAGCAGGAGACAGTTAACTGCGTTGCCAGTCTATCCACACCTTGATTTCGCCAAAGTGGTCAAGCCTTGAAAATGCACACGTATGTGCCATTCTTGACTCCACCCACCTCATTACCATGCCCTCATTCGGTTTGCCCTACCGTGTCATTGTCTGCTTTGAGTCCACTGCTGGCATCAAGAGTCACAACGAGCTTCTCAAAGGCTGCAGTGGGAGAACCTCCAGCAGTGCACTTGTCTGCATCGTTGAGACCCATGGCTGCAAAGAGGGACTCCACTGACAGCTGGGGAGCGGCTTCATTATTTGCGATGCCGTATGCAGCCTCCACACTCGCCACCACGGCGTACGCCCAGCATGCACCTGAGAGCAAGTAGGTAGGTCCGAGAAAAAGAAAAGTGATTAACCCCAGATGGTGGAGTAATGCTGCAGGCTGCAATCCCAACTCTGGATGAGGTTGAACTTGCAAGGGGATACTTTGGTATGCCGCTTTAAGGGATCGAGTTCACCTTCATCCTTTGAGGGTAGATTAACGCTGCAGACGGTAAATAGTACCTTGGTCAACAACAAACACATCCGTTGACAGGGATGAATTCGCAAGATACTGTGGTACAATGAAATAACGAATACACTTGAAGCATGCGAACCTGAAAAACATTCATCCCCTTGCCACTCACTGCAATCCATCTGGTTCTTGACAGGCCAGTCGAGGAAGGCCATTGAGTCCCAGTTCTGGAAGTCACGGATGGCCCATGAGTCCACGCTCACACGGTTGCCCGTCCATTGGTAGTCCGTGCTCACATAGCGCGAGAATGGGTTCGCCCCAGGTGGTACATACGTGCCCTCCGATACTACGAGGCCAAGGGCTGTGAGGGGTAGACAAGAAAGGCAGAGGATTATAAAATTTGGGAGAAGCACGCATAGTGCGTAAAGCTCATATCGGTTGATAAGATCAGTTTTTCCACAACTCTATAAACAGTCAATCAGTTATTTCCTTTATAAGCATGTCGCAACGGTTGCCTTCAACCATCGTTGCTTGCTTGGATGGAATGTATGTGTATCTCTTTTGCATTCCCTTTTTGGATATTTGTCGGTTGCTACTAGATATCACCTTGATTTGTAGTCTCCACTGGCTCGGGTGGAGGACGGAGTTCTGTGGGAAAAGGAGACACACAAGCAAAATAGTCAACCTCAGCAGTCTCAAACTTAACCAAGAAAAGGAACCACGATACAGGTTGCTTGGCTAACGCAATGTCACTACAGATAGCTAACGCAATGTCACTACAGATAGCTAACGCAATGTCACTACAGATAGCTAACACAATGTCATGGATTACATCATCCATGACAAGCAGAACTAGCACCAGTTCCCACATACGAGGGTGAGCATTACCACCAGCATGAAGCATTGCAACCATTCCTCTCAAATTCGCTCACCACTGTCGTCGCCATCACTGTCAGTCACTCCACAACAATAGTGCTTGCCTGTTTGGACGGCAGAGTAACGAATCGCGTGCATCTGAAATGGCTTCTTAGTGGTTGAGGCCACGAATCCAAAGAAGAATGCCGGCTGTTGCCCGCTAGGCTGCAGCACCGCACACAGCGACAGCTCCCTCTGCAGCAGCGGCTGCTCTGGCTTCACCCTGGAGTCAGCCAGAAACACCTTGATGGAGCCACGATTCCAAGGGTCATAGTCCACCCATGCCGTGTAATACTCGCCGTCGGTCAGCGTAAATGGTGACCCCATTGCGAACAAGGATGTACCTAAGCCATTTATGTTGAGCCCCACATGCTGCACCTTCATATCAGTGGCAGTGTCAAATACAATGGCTACACTTCGACTGTCCATTCCGCCATACCCTTCACCATCCGATCTCCCCAGCTTAGCCCTTGCCGCTTTGCCCAACTTGCTGTTTGCCGTGATCACAAACGCAAAGCCGTTGGATCTGCCAAGCCCATACTGGGAAATGAGGCAGAATGTGAAGTTGACACTGAAAGCCAACTCCGCACCACATCCCGTTCTCAAACTTGATGGGTAAACAAAGAGGTCTACTGGCTTCGCCATGGACCTCCCCGCTGTCTGCCGCTGCGTTCCCATGGTGAGAATAGTGAATACGGGAAGAATAGGCTCGCTGATAGAGATGTTTTGACTCCAACCTGAAAAAAACTCAATGGAGCAGCAGAACATGAGAGGGTTTAGTGAGAGGGGTTCGTGAAAAGACTACACAGCTGTGATGAGTCTGTGCAGCGCAGTTAGTACTTCAGTTTTCAAATTAACGCACTATTGATATGCAGGAGACAAGGCAGATACAAAGAGTGATGTTGCAAAGAAAACAAAAACACACAACAATAATAATCACCTTGTGCAAAACAGTAGGACCTTCCAACCAGAACGGAGCCCGCACTACACAAGCACGTTGGCACCAAGCTGGGTCCGTCTGGATAGCAGATGCCACGGCCATCACAGGCATTCCAGCCACCGCAGAATGCCGCGCACTCTGCTGCAGGACGCTGCTGCGCGAGGCGGCACTTAGGCCTTGTGCGGGGACACTTGGACCTTGCGAAACAGTTGCCAGCAAGATTTTTTTCGATGGAGGCTGAAAAATCCAGCCGACCTGTGAAATAGTTGCCTGACATGTCATGAAATGGCCACAGCTTTTCAGAAACGGGGCCTGAGAGGTAGTTGTGGGAGACATCCCTGCATGTGAAGAACAAGGGGGAGGAGGTGTGGGCGGTGGAGTGGGGTATATATACCTCAGCTCACTTGAGCTTTGTTGACCCGATTCTTCTTCTTCACACCCTTCTCCCTCCCCCCTCACTCTCCCCCCGCCTCCCCAACACCACCCCTGATAACCCCTCACCACTCCCTTAACTTGCACTTGTCAAATTATAATGATGCAAAAAATTACACATAACAAGATGTTGTATTTAAAACCATTCGATGCAAGTAACCAAAATGAATAGCTCGAATAAGAAAAATATCAAATGGATAGACTTCCCCTAATGAATCATAGGATATCCAAAAGAGTTTCCATTAGAGGAATGTTTGATGAAGTGTTAAGAAGAGTATCTTAACCTTACACAATTGATATAAATATCCAAAACATTCTATTAAATCGAATAAAGATTCCCCTGCTTATAACTCTTCTAAAAAATAGAGGTCTCACAAAACTACAAGCTCGGGAAGGGAGTCGAATTCAGAAGGAATGGAGCCACTAAAACGATTGTTGTTGAGACCCCTGAGAAAAACACGAGAACCAAGCCTGAGATTGCAAAATGGTGCACGCAAGGATATCGACATGACATGAAAAATTTCATGCGCGCATAACTACATGATCTAGGCATGAGCAATGGCCGAACCTAAACATGTTTGCCATGAATATTTTCTGCTCTGTAATTTGTACTGGCCTTGTATTATTCTGTGGTTATTAGTTTCATCTCAAGTTCGATCTACTCTCATTCCTTCTATATGTCTTAGAAGGAACATGCGCAAGGTGCGACCAGTGTTTCACCCCAACCTACTCTACATCCAATCCCAGCAGCAGCAGCATCCGGTATTTTCTTTACCTCTCACCCATCCAAAACTGCATTTTTTGTCATCCATGGCTCCTAGGCTCCGCAATCTAGCATGGTAACACAGCAAGTCCTAAGCAACCCCTCTCCTATCCACCTTAGTTGACCTACCTGTCGTTCGGCCCTCTCCCAGACCCACACACCTCCTAACTATCACCTGCACGACCTCCCCTTATTGACGTGCCCTCTGCTCCTCACCCGCCTGACCTGTACATAGTCATGAGCATGAAGGCAAACCCGGTTCGGACCCGGTCGGGACGGTTTGGTTGTTACTCGGGCCAAATCCCTGATATCGCGCGTTCCTGTTTCAGGGCGGGCCAAACTGGCTTCGGTCTGTCGAACCGGTTTTTGTTCGCTTCTGGCCATGGGCCATAAGTTAGGACATGTGTCTGATTTTGACTCAACATTTTAGCGTGTCAAAGTCAGATTGCCAAACCCGCACCCCAGCAATTCGCCACGAACAAACTCTCAAATCAATTTCCGCATCCCAACTGAGCTTCACCACATTGATTCTACAATTCCCAGCCAGCACAGAACCAATGTCAGAATTGAGAATTATAGTAGACTCCCCACCTCCCCTTTACTTCAAAATTCTATTTCCTGGCCAAAGTTTTTTCTTTTCATGACTTATGTAAACTTCAGTTTGGTTATTGTTGTGACCGCCTGTCATATTTTTTCCACAGAAACATTCAAGAACAACAACTTCACGCATTTGGGTTTATGAAGAAAGCTACACCTCCGGGCCAGGCTCGAACCGGCCAAGGTTGGGCCAGATAAGGTTCGATCGAACCATTATTGGCCAGGTCCCCATATGCCAATCCCGGGCCTAGGAATGGTTCAGTTAGCCCGGGGTGCACCAAACCCAGTTGGCCCAGTTTTCTAAGTGGCCCGGCCTGGTTCAACCCAGGCCGAACTCGGTTCAGCACGTGCTCATCCCTACCTATACATGAGCGTACCCTCGGCTCCGCTGCTCCGTCCTCATCACTCACCTCACCCCTATTCACCCTCCTCCTCTTTTCTCACTCTTCCTACTTCTCCCCCCTTCATCCACCTTCCTGCTCTCCTCATCTGCTGTTGCTGGTCGCTAATTGCTGCTTCCAAGTTGCTGCTCCGTCCCAACCTGTTCCTCCTCGTATTTCTCGCCCCATCTGCCCTGCAGCAGTTTATCTAGACCTTATCCCTCCTCTTATTTTACCCCCGCCTGCTTGGCAGTAGCTCACCTCGACCCTATTCCTCACTGTTCATCTGCTCAGCAGCAGTCTACCTAGACCCTATTTGCTCAGCGACTGTATCCTCCGCCTTATGGATCATCACTCAGCAGAATAAACATGGCGCCATCTCCGCCCTTCCTCTAACTCCTTCCCCTCCCTCGTCCTGGGATGCTCTCCAGAGCAGATCCCTGAGGGCCTCCACTATTGCTCCTCGGCTGATGCTGTTGAAGGCAATTGCTAATCCGCTTGGAGGATCAAGGTGTCGCTCATGTAGGCCCCAGCTGTATGGATTATAGCTTCGTTGCCTCCTTGTACAGCAACACAGTACTGGAGGAGGGGAAGCAGGAACGTCCCGCATACGGGAGGTTGGAGTGAGCGGATTTGGCAGCGAGGCGCAGGATGTACTCTTTAAGTGCTATGGGCCTTGTCCCTCCTTCGGGCTTGGCAAGTACGATGAGGTGCGACGCGAGGATGTAAGTAGTGAAAATACTTCGGCGGGGAGTGAGCCCCGCAGGATGATGTTGACTAAGGCGTGGAGGTGAGTGTTAACTGCGGCGTTGGTAACTGCTGCGTCTCTGAGGTGTTCGAATATCATCCCAGATGGCCCACCTCCTACCCCATTTTCGCAGCGGCTGAGCAGCCAAGTTGGAAAAAACGTCTCGAATTTTATTCGCAAGAGTATAAAACGCGATATGTCCGTAGCCTCCGTCGTAGTTCAGCTCCCACCGTTGTCGAGTGATTCTCCACACGGGTGTGGTGTCTGAGGCATTCCATCGGTCGGAGTAGGTGGTGCTGGTGGGTGTTTTGACTTGAGTGTGTCTAACACTTCAAGCAATAGTTTGGCGTCAGGTGTTGACTCTAGGCCATGATTGCATGCCGCAGGCTTCCTCGGCGTGCTAGTCCCTCTGCTCTAGCGTGCTTGCCTGTGTTGTCAGGTTGGTGACGTGGTTGGGGTGGGTTGGCTATTGCCGCTACAGTGGCCTTGTACAGCAGCCCCCACTTGCCTCTGAAGATTAGGCGAAGCCTTAGCTTCACTACTGGCCAGCCGGGTTTCCTTGGGGTGGGCTGACAAAGAATTATGCGCGGGATGAAGAATAACAGCCGCCAGCCAGGTACTGAAATGGGTTTCACGCGAGGTGCAGCAGGGGTGTCATTATTGCCATGCCGAGGAGCGGGCGAATGTAAGTTGGGAGTTTCCTAAACAGGAGGGACAGGGGCTGACGACTGTCGCGAAGGTGAGTCAGGTTCCAGTGTCCAACTTTGGCAAAGCGGTTGACGTCTCTTGCCAGTTGGTCTGCCAAAAATTGGCGGGGTGGGTTCGCGGATGGGGCGAAATCAGGTACGGGTTGGATTACTCCCCCCTTTTGATGTTGGATTGAAATGCAGCTCGGCGGGGTGTTGCAACGTTCCTTTGGATTGAGGCAGCTGGGGTCACCACCTCTGCTTCAGCCGAGTCTTCGGTGGAGGGTTCTACTTCCGTTTGTTGCACATACATTGCATCCTCCACCTCATCAACCACATGCGTTGCTACTTTGATCATTAAAGCCCTTCTCGCTGCTCTCTGAAGCCCGTTCTCTGGTCCTGCTTAATCTGCTTAAGTTGTGCCGCCCTGCGCCCCCTTCCTCCGATTGCTGCGCGTGGTGTCTGTCGGCGCATCTGTGCATTCGCCGAGGCCCGCTGTCGTTGCGTCAGCGGAGTTTGGTGGTGGAGACGGAGAGATCAGCTAGGCATGAGCAGGCGGCTCGACCCGACCCGACTTGGCCGGGCCAGGTCGGATCGAGTCGGGTCAGGATGTTGGAAATCCTGACTTGATCCCGGAGTACACCGGGTATTTCCTGACCCTAGGTCGGGTCGGGTACAGGTAACCCGCCCCACTTAGGGGCCAGTTTGTGTATAATCATGTTGAGGTCTAGCCCTTGGTCACTTCCTAAATGGACGCGCGGAGGCTGAATGTTTTAAAACGGAGGCAAAACTACTTTGCACGCCATTCTTAATCCTATGCAAAAAACGTTATCAAAACGCTTTAAGCAAGGCAGATCTCTGTTTATTGCATCCTAAATGCATGAATGGATGACTACATTATTTAATGTAATGAGCCAATAGGGAAAGTAGGCTGCTTATTAGAGTTCAAAGATTTCTGGGCGGAAGGCCAGAAGTTAGGTTGCGGGAATGATGTCGAGAGGAAAAATGTCCCCTCGACATCGACTTTAGGGTTTTCGCTCGTGTCAAAAGATCAGATGTGGAGTATTGGGGGCTTTTGTAGTTGAAGTGGGGAAATTCATTGGAGAGTGCTCTTTGTCTCTACTCCTCTTCCCGCTACCTAATCAATTCAGGGCGAACATTTTTGTCACAACTGGATGTTTGATGTTAGAGTAAAAAAGTCGAACAACCAAGGTTCGAGCCGGACATGTTCGAGTTTAGTACGGATTCCATACAGAATTTAATCTGTGAGATTGGCGTGAAAACTTCATAGGCATGGCGAAATATGTTAACTTGCTCTGTGTGCAAGTCAGAGTTGCATGAGTGCCATGATACACCGAGTCCTTGCGAATTTCACGCCCCGCAACTCCTTTCGAGAAGCACCCCGAACCAGATTTTGGCTTGACCAATGAACTCCCAGAGTTGGAAGTCAAGTGTCGAGATGTAAAAGAACTCCCCCACTGATACCGCAGCGCATCGACCAAAGTTTTATGCGACCTGCTTTTTGTTCAGCTCTAACTCGTCTAAGAAGTCTGAATCTTCCCTATTTTAAATGGATGTCTTCACAACAACCCTTCGGTATCGGGTACACCAGAAATATTTGCCGAGGGGGGTGAGATTGGGCGTAGTGAAGTTGGCGAGGACTCGATGTAAACCTTTGCATGTCCATCTCGAACTCTCCAACAAGTCAAACATGCAATGTTCGACGTGGCTCGACTCTTGCAGGCCGAATAGACCGAACATTTTGACCCAAATATCAAAATATGTTTCACCGTTTCACAATGTGGAATTTTCACCGTTTTTTTTCCTGAGTAACTACAAACGCAAGTGAGACGACAAGCAGGGAAAGGGTATTACAGATTCCTCAGATTTGTGAGGGCCAGATTGAAATTTATATTTCCAGTGAACTTGTTGTTGTCCAGATATCTGCAGTTAAGGAACATATGGAAGAGATCAGACTGACAGAAAGTCTTGGAAGACGAAGAGAATGGATGAAGGACAGCGTGAGAAATAGACAACCAAAGAGAGGGTGGCAACAAGAAAACAAGAGGAGAACGAAACTGTGAAAACGGTGATGCTTTGGGTGCAAAACAGAACATAGTCCACTGTGCACGCACACATATAAGATTACGTCTCTTGACGATGAAATGCAGAAACAGCGGGACAAGAGATAGGCCTGTACAAGTAAACCAATCCTGTTAACATGCTGATGGTAGCAGGAATGGAACCGTCGAGCTGATTGGTATCCAGAAACCTGCAGATATGAAAATGTGGAGAAACATGAAGCAATGAAATGAGTTAGAGTGGTGGAGTGTGCAACGCATTGACCAGGGATCATTTTGACAGGACGGTCCCTCAGAGTGTTGATTCCAGATGGAATTGATCAAGCCAGTGAGCTGCCGAATTTGTATCACAATCACATTTTAATGAACACGAATAAGCCAAGCACCCAATACCAGCAGGAAAATGTTCATGTCATTGCCATGTGTGCAGACAGTCGCAGGAAACAGACGGGGGTGGGAGATGTGATTGGGGTGATTCTCACCTCCTCCATCCACACATAGAATGGGACAGGCATGGGAAGAGGGAAATGCTAACGCGAATATGAAATGCCAAAGTGGAAACGAGAACAGCCAAAAACTTTGACGAATTAAGGGGAGTTGTGAATGGAAACAAATGAAAGGAAGTGTGGCATACAGGAGAAGGAATCAGGGATGTTAAAATCTGAATACAGTGTGCTCCTCTTGGCACAACACATGAACGCACTGTTCATTGTGCAGAGGCACATAGGACACCACTCGTTTGCTGAAATGTAGAATGCGTCTTCCGACCATCAAATGCAGCACCAGAAGTAGCAGCAACAGGATAAGAGATAGGCACATACAACGACTCTAATTCTGTTAACAAGCTAAGTGTAGCAGGAATAGAGCCGTTGAGCTGATTTTGACCCAAATACCTGCGCAAGTGAAAGGATGGACAAACACAGAGCATATTAAAGTACGGAGGATGCAATGCATTGATCATGGATTAATGAAACAGGATGGGTTTTCAGATTCCATGTTTGACCTGTTACATAGTGATGCGATACACATGTTTGTCTCGACACCCATGCGATACACTCGTTTTTTGGCTCGCCTCGTTCACACCATGCGAGACGAATTCGGCAAGTTTTTTCCAGCTCGCCGTGCTTTCTACAATCGGTGAGCCAGAAGAAAACTCGTCGCGACGGGGGAGGGAGAGGAGGGGAAGGGGGGGGGGGGGGAAAGGGGGGGGGGGGGGGTTGGGGGGGAGGGGGGGGAAGGGAGGGGGGGGGGTGTTTTTGGGAGGAAGGGTTGGAAGAGGGGGAGGAGATTTGGGTACAGATGTCAATACTTGTGTCTGTAACCAGCTAGGCCTAGTCTGTCAATTAGCCCTTGGTAGTTGTGTTAGTGTTAGCCCTCAATCTCACAGTTTGTACTTTATATTTTCTATATCCTAGAGTAGTGTAGTTTGCACTTTGTGTTTGGTTGGGTGTACACCTACATCCCAACCAAACCCAAATGTAATCTCCAAGCAATCTCCAACCCACCAATTGGAGATTGCCTTGGGATTACCCCCAATCCCTAGGGATTGCCCCCGATTCCTTTCCCCATCCATCCCCTACCCTTCTTGGATGTACTTAAAGAGCTTCAAGCTCATTACTAATGTATCAGATCTAAGCCTAAGTTGTGACATGGTATCAGAGCTCTTCAACCGCACACGCGGAGCGTGATCCTCTTATCTCTGCAGATGCTCGTCCCGCAAACCTCGGCGTAACCACGTTCAATCTCGTCGCCGGTGATTCGCGACGTTCGTGGGCGGAAATTCTCCCGCACCACCTTCCCGTCACTTTCGACGACATCTACGATTTCTCTGGTAAGCGCATCGTCGGCACTATAACCTATCGCTCGCTTTCGTCGAACGTCATCGCGTCATTTCTTCTCCTCGTCGGGCCGCCGCCCGTCGCCCCGCAGCTTCTCGTCGGGCCGCCGCCCGTCGCCCTGCAGCGTCACCTTCGGGCTGCCGCCCGTCGCTCCGCATCTGCACTCCTATCCCAATCTCCCCTTCCCGCAGCTGAACAGGTGTAGCAGCGCAGCCGAGCAGCAGCGTAGCCGCGAAGCTGAGGGTGGTGTGTGGGGGGGTGTGTGGGAATAGGATTAGCAGGTAGATGACACTAAACTGGCGTTTCCGTCAAATTCTCCTTCAGAAACCCTAAACCTCAAAATTATCTTTCGTAAACCCTAAACCTCTGGTTCTTCAAAATCTCCTTCGGAAACCCCAAACCTCAAGTTCCTATCGGTGACTTAAGAGCGGCTTTCCGCGCGGGATACTAAGGGTTCTTCATCATGGCATTTGCCTCGTCCACCATGGCCAACCCCATCACCCCACTCCGCCTTCAACTTCAAGGCATGGAGCTATGGGGTTGACAAGCACCTCTTGAGTCGTGACGTGCAGGGATTGGATCTCAAGGACGTCCTCCTCAACCGAGGCAAGGGAAAACAGCCCCCAATCCCCCGTGAGCCGACCGAATCCGCTAGTGATACTGACATGAGGGCGTTACGAGGAAGCCGTTGAAAAGTACCGGAAATGGGAGAAGGCCGATGCTGCTATCATCAGCGTTTTCATTGCCTCCACCCCTCCCGAACTTGTCAGCACGTTCCACAACTACCCTACCTCCAACGACATCTGGAAGTACCTCCAGGATCGGTTCATGAACAAAACGGCGGTCGGAGTTGCCATCCTCATCCCCAGCATGTTCCAGGTCCGCCTTGAGGATTGCTCGGGAATGGCTGACTACGTCGCCAAGGTGCAAACCATTCATGGCAAACTTAAGGAGCTGTGTATAGTCTTCCCCGAACAAGCCCCTGCAGCCGCCCTTCTAGTTGGTCTCACCTCGGCATATGAAGTAACGAGGAAGATGCTCCTCACGCTCTCAGCAGAAGACCTCACCTTTGCTAAGGTCTCCACCGCACTCCTCTCTGCCGAGAAAGACTCCACGGCCCAGGCCAAGGCTTACGCCATCCGCGCTCCCATGCCGCAAGCAAGTGTCACATCGGCCCTCGCCTCGGCGCCCTTCCAGCGCAACCGCTTCCCTCCGTGCACCTACGTCGTCAAGTATGGCAACCGCAAGGGACAAGTGTGTGGTGGCACTAACCACCCCCTTGCAACGTGCTTCAAGAAGAAGGACGACGAATGGTATGCCATTCACGGAGTGGACAAGAAGCCGCCAAACTGGATGCGCCCTCGTAAGGCCAACCTAGTTGAGGTCCAGGACCCCGCTTCGGCTAGTGCTAGTGATAGTGCTCCTGCTGATGTGCGTATCAACCTGTTGTTCCCTGGCACGGCCATGATTAATGAAGCTACCTCCCAGTACATCGGCTCATCACAAGCACCACAATACATAGAGTTCACACTCGACAGCGGGGCCACCCACACTGTGCTCAAGGAGACACTCTCCTTCAAACCCTACGCAACACCCATTCCTCTCTTGGAAGCTGACTCAAGCTTCACAATTCTTGCCAAGGGTACATCCACAGTCCCGTGCCCCGCCTTCCCATCTGGCACTGTCACTGGTATGTGCGTGCCTTCACTACGCCACAATCTAGTGGCTTAAACGGAAATTCAGGATGCAGGACTACGCACAGTCTTCTCGGAGAACGAGGACCATTGCGACATCATCGATCCTCTCAACAACAAAATCCTAGCCCGCTTCACCCTCAATAGCAGCGGCCTTTACACGCTACGCGTACCTCTCCCACAGGTGTCAACCACCCAAGCACAGGCCCCTATCACACCATGCCCGTGTCGCAGCCTCTCCAACCCGACCATTCTTTACCACCATCGGCTCGGGCACAATTGCTGACATGGCCTCCAAGAAACTTCTTCTCGGCCTGCCAGCCGCACTTCCTCCACCACCTGACTCACCCGTTCCCACGTGCCTTGATTGCACCAAGAGCAAACTGCGCCAACGGCCCCATCCTGCCGCACCCACAGTCGCAGCAGCACCTCTGGACCTCGTGCACACGGACGTCTGGGGCCCTGCCCCCGTTCCCGCACGAGGTGGCCATCGCTACTTCCTTGCTATAGTGGATGACCACTCCCGCTATGTCTCTGTTCACCTCCTCCACACCAAGGCTGGGGCCCCAGAGGTCATCATGGCGTGGGTCAAGCAGGCACAGACCACCTTTGACCGCAAGGTCAAGCGCCTTCACTCGGATGGGGGGGGTGAATTCTGCAACGACGAGCTCAAAGCCTTCTGCTCCTCAGAAGGCATCCAGCAAAACTTCACCCTTCCTGACAGCCCACAGCAGAACGGCATAGCAGAGAGCCGCAACCACACCCTGGTGCAGATCACTCGGTACCTCCTCAGCCATTCCAACGCTCCACTCTCTCTCTGGGGGTACGCCCTCTACCATGCCGCCCTCCTCTATAATCTTTTCTCCCACCCGCATCTTCCCGACACCACTCCAACCACACTTTGGCTCGGAAAAACACCCACTGCTCGCTCTCTTCGCGTCTGGGGGCACACCGCCTATGTCCTCCTGAACCCTCAGGCCAGGCGACAGCGCGGTGGCAAACCCGGTCCCAAGACTCAAACGTGCATCTACCTTGGGCACAACGCCGACTCCCCTGACTATCTCTTCCTCAACCCCTCAACTCAACAGTTAGTCCGGAGCCGTGACGTTGTCTTTGATGAACTCCGCCCATTCTACTCCACCTCGGGACCGGATCCTCCTTCCGATCCACCCTCTCTCGTGTGGGCGGACTTTGATGCGCACCCTGACCTCCCACCTGCGCCGGCCCCCTCACCTCCTCCCTCTCCTGCCATCGCACCTTCCCCCTCAGAGATCTCTGACCCGACCTCACCGGTGTCTTCGGCAGCTGCTCCTCCATCCCCCTCACCTCCCACTCCGCCGACTGTGCTGCCACCTCCGAGCGCACCTATCACTTACCATCGGCGGTCACACCCTCCGGCCCCACATCCTCCCCCAGTACCCCCTACCACAGAAGAACCTGCTCTCCCACAGCCGCCCGAGCTGATCACGTACCGGCGGTGGCCCATTCCACCACCCAAGCCTCCTAAATCAACCCCTCCGACACCGCCTGCCCCACCCTCTTCTCCGGTGGCTCATGGCACTCGCTCGCATGGCGCTGCTCTTCCACTGGCACTGATTCTTCGATGAACTGAGATCACTCCGCCTCCTCCTGCTGGGGAGGATGTGCCCTCTACCCTTCTGGAAAACAGGCATGAGGAGCTTTGTGATCTTCACGCTGTCATTCTTCAGCTCTCGCACATCTTCCCCGACATCACTGAATCACCCTCACTCAACTTCACGGAGAACCCGACCATCCCTATCCCTCTCACCGTCCAAGAGGCTTTCTCGGGTCCCCATGCAGCCGAATGACGTGCTGCCATGGAAGCTGAGATTGAAGCATTCACCCGCAACCACTCCTTCGACGACGAGACTCCACCTCCAGGAGTCAACATCGTCGGGGGCAAGTGGTTGTTCCGTGTGAAACAGCTCCCAGACGAGGCCCCGGTGTTCAAAGCGCGTTACGTAGCCAAGGGTTTCACCCAGCAGCAGTACCATGACTTCTTCAAGACCTTTTCCCCCACATCCAAACCTCCCACTATTCGCACGCTTATGGATGTCGCAGCACGAGAGGACTTTGAGATCAAATCCATGGACGCCTCATCAGCTTTCCTACAAGGACGCCTCAAGGAGACAGTGTTCATGGACAGACCTGAAGGCTTCCCAGGAGAATTCCCTTCCAACACTATCTGGAAGCTGAATCGCCCCGTCTATGGCCTTAAGCAAGCACCTCGCGAATTGCACAACAAGGTTAAAGAAGTCCTTCTCTCCCTGGGCTTCCACCCATCATCTGCGGACCCGACTCTCTATTCAAAGGTCATTCTGAGCCATTCTACATCTTTCT